ATAATAATTTATATTTTTAAAATAATTAATATTTTACCTTTAATCCACTATCTAAAGCATGGGCTACTTTTTCTGCTATTAATTCATCATTTTCACCAAAAATATTTCTACGTTCGGAATGACCAAGAATTACCCATGGGATTCCATTGTCCAAAAGCATAGCAGGACTTATTTCTCCAGTAAATGCTCCTTTTGCAACCTTATATGTATTTTGTCCAGCAATACTAATATTATTGGGTAATATATTCTTGGCATATGTTAAATATATAGATGGTACTCCAACAACAACCTCTGATATAATTATGATATAATATAATTATGTAATTTAGTTTTAATATAATAAAGTTTTAATATATTTGTTTTATTAATTATAATAAAATGCATATATTACTTAATATTTGAATATATTATTATAAGATTATAATTATGATATTAATATTATATTTTCATAATGAATATTATTAATGAACAATTAATGAATGTTATGAATAAAATAATAGAAAAATATAGGTTAAAAACATACAAAAATAATAAAATTTAAAGAAAAAACATACCAACATTTGAATCAAGTGGACCTTTTTTTAAAAAGTCAACAATATCATTTATTTCACTTTTGGTACCATTCATTTTCCAATTACCACCAACAAAAAATTTACGACCCATGGCCTTAGAGTATATTGATACAAGTAAACTATTAATAGTAATAAATTTGCAAGTTACTTGCAAATCTGAAACAAATTTTGAAAATATTCTTTCGACCTTCAACAATACAGAAGGTGAATTTAGTCACGTTCCTTCCAACCCGATTTTATGAAATCCCCACCATTCTCAATTTACTCCCCTCTCTTTTTTTACGAATTCTAGTACTTTAATCAAATAATTTAAAATAATTATTTTATTTCCAAGAAAAAAATTATTTGTTAAATATATTTTTTCATAAATAAGTATATTTCAAAATTTTATAAATAATTTTTTACATAATTTTATGATCAAAAAAAAATTTTTAATTTGAATTTAATTAAAATTTGAATATTCTAAATTTAATGAATTGAAATTTAAAAAATGATAAATTTGATGAAATAATTAAATGTTAAAATTATTTTAAAATTTCAAAATCAAATAAAATAAAATATATCATAAATTAATAAATAAATTATATTATATACAGTTTAAAGATATCATTAAATTAAATTTTTATCTATTAAAACGATTATTACTTATTGAAAAGTAATAACTTAACATACATTCATAACAGCACATTTAACATTCAACTTATCTATAGTAGATAGATAGTAATCGATTTGAAATGATATGTTACTCTATTAATGGTGAGTAATAAATAAAGATTATATATCATAAAAAATCATATATCAAAATCATAAAAAATGATTTATTTTAATAATATGAAAAATAAATTTAATAAGATCAATATTTAATGATTTATAAATAATGTAATATTTAATATATCATCGGATTCAATAATTGAATTTGAATTCAAATAAATATGTTTCATTTTAAAGGTTATGAAATTTTTTAATTAAATTAATTAATTAATTTTTAAATTATTTTTAATAAAATTAATGATATTTGTTGTTCATGATTATTTATTATAACAGAATAAAATATGGGGTATACTTACTATATTTGATGAATTCTTTATTTAAGATCCTTTTTTGGTACAATTTAACAAAATTACAAAAAATGAAACGCATGTTAACAAAATACTTTAAGCATTATTTTTTAATTATTATTATAATATATTCTTATTACTTGTAAAATTTAAATTATTAAATTAATAAAACTAATTATGCTGTTTATTATTATGAAGTTGAATAAAGAAACAATTGCATAAGTTTGTTTATAATGATTTGTCAATGTTTATATAACACAAAAATCAGAATTTTATATTTTATTATACATATTATTTTAAAATATTTATCTATTAATTTTAGTTAATATCATAAATATAATTTTTAAATTCAAAGATTTGTAATATGTTTAAAATGTCAAAGTTCAATATGGATAAATTTATACATACATTTATCCAAAACTTAGGTTTAAGAATCGAATCTTGTACTTGCAAGAAATTTAACAAAATTGCATTTATGACAAATATAGATAAATCTTATACATTGAAACAATTATATCCTGCAGAAGAAATAAAAGAAGTTAATGTTCAACAAGATTTGGATTTTTCCACAGAAAAAAATATAAAATATTTTATGGAAAAACATGCTAATCTATTTGATAAACTTACCTATTTAAATAATACACAAATTTTAAATTCCCATTTAAAAAATATTAATTCAAAGATTCTTCAGAAAATAAAAACAAAAAGAAAATATAATGGAATTATAAAAAAGGGGGAACTCAAAACACATAACAAAACTATAATTTTTAATAAAAAACTAAAAACAAATTTTGCAAATAAATTAAATGGACCAAAATACAATTTATCATCATCTATAACATGGAAACAAAAATATATAAATTCCCATTGCAAAAAAAATAAATTTAAAAAAGCTGCAATATTTGAAAATTCTAAACTAATTTGTTATAATGCAAATATACATGATTATAAAAATGAAAACACTTCAATGAATAACGATGAACAAAAAATTTTTTCTAAACACAATTTAACAAATGTTATGATAAATTTTACGAAAAAAGAAATAGAAATGACTGAAAAATTGTTGTTATTGTATATAAAAGATGTAGAATATATAAAAAGAAATATTCAAGTTACTCTACATATAACAAAGGTTATACAGTATAAATATATTTTTTATTTTAATTTAAAATGTTTTTCCAATTATTTTAATTTATTATTCATTATACAGAATTCAAAATTTAATTATGACACAAAGGATCGAATAGAATATAATCAATTACTTTGTCATCATGCAATTCTATGTTTAATTGAACCAAGTAAAAAAGGTGCTGTTTTAATTGAAGATAATTTACCAGTTATTATTAAAAAATACCTTATGCATGGATATAAATATCATTTTGATTTTCAGAGGTATTTTATTTAAAAGAAATATTATATAAGTATTAAAGATTGAATGGATAAAATATTTTTTTAGGAGTTCAAAGAGTTATTATACAGCTGTACTTATTTTGAGTCAATTAGCTAAAGTTCTGGTTAAACATATAAACACAACTATGATGCATACAATTTGTGGTATATTAGGATGTGATGTGCAAGAAATATTAGTGTTATATAATCCAAGAGAAAAATAATTCTAAATATTATTTCTAAATATTAATTTTATAAAAAAAAATCTATGAATATATATTTAATATAATATACCAAATAAATGTAAATTTATTAAATGATAATGTAACATACATAATACATCCTTATGTAAATCTCAATAAATATCAAAAATTATGTATATCCATTAAAATATATTTCTTTTATAGGAGATTTGTATTTTACATAAGAGGAAAAATGGTAAATGAAGAAATAGTGGAATTTAATAAGAAATCACAACCAATTTTTAAAAATCCAATTTTTCAACAAAAATTTCGATCTACTAGTACCACTGGAAAGAAACGAACTTGGCGCTCATTAAAACAAGTCTTAGCTCAAGAACGTATTTTACCATGGCTTCCAGAAGTAGTGCATTGTACGATTTATTCATATTGATATTACATGTATAGATTTAGAATGATTTAAATAACTCAAAAACAAAAAATTATTAATATAATTATAAGTATATAAAATTTATATATTTAGTAATACACTTAAATGTAGTTTATTTTATAACGTGTATGTGCACATCAAAATTTACTATTAGATATAAAAAAATTCTACTAAAATATATGCATAAAATAATAGATATTAAATTTTTTGTAATATATGAATATTATATTACTTGAAAAATTTCAGATAGTTCTATTAATGCACCGCCAAGCTTTAGACCAGCAAAAAAGTACTCTGATATTTCTGGATTACCCGTAAGTGATTTTTTACATTTATATGGTTGGTTATGGGATTAAAATAAAACGAATATATAAATTATATTTATTTTACAGTCACGATATACAGATCCACAAACTAAATTATACTATGCAACTGCAGAAGAATTTGCAACAGTTCGAAGTCTACCAATGGATATAACTGCTGGATATCTAGCGTTGCGCGGTGCCTCCAGTATTGTTGGATAAAATAAATGAGAATTTTATTTTCTATAATTTCCTTATATTTAAATAATATAGAACACGGATATTTTATTTTGTAATTATATCATACTTATTGTAGAATAACGAAATAGGTGTAAATCTGTAAATTAATTATAAGGCTGCAAATGTAAACAAAAATATATCGAATTTATAAAGAGACAAAATAAGATTATTTTTAATAAAAATTGTTTTTTTATACATACATACATTGTATGTATTAAGTTCTTTTAATGGGATTTTCTGAAATAAACAATTCCACAAAAATTTAGGTCATTTTCATTATTTTATCTCCTTCATATTATACACAAGTAATTATTATTAAAAAAGGATTGTTCATTATAACTTAGCATTATGAATTACGAAGTAAAGAAGGATTGGAAAATCTTTAAAAAGAATATTACTGTTTTTTTTTTCTCTTGATCACTGTATTCTGTTATGTTGACAATTTCTTGTGCACCTTATTTGTCTGCTACTGCAATGTGGGCCATTAGCAAATTTAATGAAAATACAAATAGCATGGCCTATTGAAATATTGCCTGATGGTGCACTTAGGTCGCCATTTGTTTTTGTATGTTTTACTTTTTTAATGAAGATTATTTTAAAGTAGCATCATAATATTTTCATTCAAGCAGGTCAGGCAAATCATCATCGTCACTATCCATTCCTTCACCTTCATCTCCTAGTTCGTCTAAATCATCAAAGTTTGGTTTACTGTCTCCAGATCCTCCTAGACCACCCATCTGTCGCATCATCTTTAAATAATAACACAAATTTAGATTATAAAATTCAAAATTCAAAATTATAAAATTTTTTCAAAATAATTAATTGTAAATAAATACTTTAAATACAATTAATATTATTTTTTAAATATAATAATGTCTCACTTCTTCTAAATCGTGACTACTTCCTTCCATGCCACCTTCATCATCGCTATCATCTTCATCCTTCCATTTGTTAAAATCACTTTTTAACCAATGAGCTTTCGTTTTTTCTTTTGTTAATCTTGGCCAATATGGACCTTCTTCTTTTTTAAAAAGAACTAATTCTAAAGTCCTTCCTCTTAAGTTCTGAATTGTTCTATTTGGGGTAATTTCTTCATATAGGTTAATTGTTACTTCATGCATTTTTTGTTCTGTTCCACCTATTCCTTTAAAATATATCATTTGTGGTTCGATGTTAATAATAGGATCTTTGCAATCTTCTAGACAGATAGTAACAAATAAAATATCTTTTCTCTGAGCCCACATAACAGGTGGGGGAGGCAATCTGAAAAATTTTTAAATAATCAATAGCTTTAAATAATATACAAAAAATTAAATTATATATTATAAAATATTATAATTATATATTATAATTTTATATTAATTATTATTTATCAGTTATATTATTTACTTATTACTATTTATAGTATTTTTGTATAATGTATGCATGTATGTATGATATATGCTATATATGAAATATATTTACAATAAATTTATAATAGTATTACAGAGATATATTAGAATACTAATTATATTTCTATAATCATTTGTTAATCATTTGTTATTAATTTCTAATATATAATTTACGTAAAAAATGAAATATAAGGTTTAATAAAATCTAAACATTAAAGAGATATTGAAACATATGTAAAATAATTGTAAAATGTAGATAAAGGTTAGAAACAAAGCTCAATGGTTTCCAATTAAAACCGCTAGTCATTATAGATAAAATGATGTTATTTTTATAAAAGAATTGTGAAAAATAAAAATGATATAAAACTATTGGATATATTTTGATAAAATATAAAAAATGATAATGTACTTTTTGCATTTTAAATATATAGTCAATTATTTAGAAATACAACTTATTAAAAAGCAATATTGTTAGTCAGTTATCTAAAAATAAAAAAGAATATAGAAAAGCTAATTAATGGAGTAATCGTTCTTAAAAATTAACAAAAACAATATATTTTAAATTAAGAAAAAGAAGATATAAAACAATTTCTTGCGATTCTTTTCCAGAAATTTCGAGAATCAATAAAGCCATCTTTACAACATGGCGGTGTTTCGAAAGCCACGGGGCGGTATTCAAGCTCATTTCATGAATATCTATCATTATTTTCATAATAATACTAATAAGAAGGAATTTCAGAATCAAGGAATACATTCGAAAAAAATTTTATGTGATTTCTTATATACTTACTGGCCTTCTTGAGTCATATTCGAGAGCTTCGTTCCGCAAGAAGCAAACAAACACAGAGCACTTACGTATCGCGCCGTAGACCTCTGATTCGAGAGTGTTTCGAGATTCAACTATCGATCAAACAAGATGGCGATTGGTTACTTTTGTCGATGTTGAATTCTCTTGTTTCCGGAATCGAATTTTAAAAAGTTTTGTTCGTATCTTTAAACATATAATTTCTAATATAAATAAAAGTAAATTTAATGTTATTAGTGCAATTATTTACTATATATAAAAATATTTATTTAAATAATTTTTAATTATAATTTTTTAATATAAAAAATATTTAAAGATACTTATCCTTTGTACTTATACAGACATTAAAATAACTAGATATTCGATTATAGTGTAAACTAGTAAATATTCGACAATTATATGAATGATAGTTAAAACTAATTTTTTAATATTTCTACAAATAAATCAATCAGATGTTACAAAGAAATAAAAATTGAAAAAAAGCTTATTTCTATTTTTCATTTATTAGATAAAAAAAATTTTTTATTTACTTGGTTATATATTAATTTCGTTAATAATAATTTCGTAAAAGTTATAAATAATAAATATGATAAATACATATATTGATTATATTGATTATATATAAATAAAAATATAAATTTATTTATATTAATTATTTATATTAATTATAATTATATATAAATATATATTTCGATTATTTATGAAAAATTGTTTTTCAGCAAGAAAATATATGAAATGATTAATACTATACAATATATAATATATAATAAATAAATAAAAAAGAATTGAACAGATAAGAGAGAGAGAGAGAGAGAGAGAGAGAGAGAGAGAGAGAGAGAGAGAGAGAGAGAGAG